GCCCGGGGCCGGGGGCCCCGGTTCGTAGCCCCGCTCAGTCCCTTCCCCGCCTGCCCAGGTCCTGAACCACTTTGTGGCCGGTTGGACCGACTGGAACCTGGCCCTGGACCTGATAGGGGGCCCCAACTGGGTCAAGAACTACGTGGACAGCCCCGTCATCGTGGACAGCAGCAAGGATGTCTTCTACAAGCAACCCATGTTCTACCATCTGGGGCACTTCAGGTGGGTTGGGGCGGCTCCGGTGCTGCTGCCAGCCCGAAACTGGGGGTACAATCCCTCTCCCGCTCCTCTCCCCCGCAGCAAGTTCATCCCTGAGGGCTCCCGGCGCGTGGGGCTGCACAGCAGCCGCCGGTGCCTCATCTGTCAGCTGGAACACGTGGCCGTCCTGCGTCCCGACGGGGCCCTCGTCCTGGTGGTCCTCAACAGGTCAGCGGGGCAACCCGGGCAGGGGGACGCTCGGTCCCGGCTTTGCTGACCTGCTTAACCCTTCTCGCCCCCCAGGTTGGGCTGGGAGGTGCCGTTCGGGATCCAGGACCCCGCTGTTGGTTTCATCGATGCTGTGGCTCCGGCCAACTCCATCCAGACCTACCTGTGGCGCTGGAAGTGACGGCCAGGGCAGGGCGAGGGATGGCACCGTGTGGCCGGGGGTCTCCGGGGCTCAGCTCTTCCCCCGCCCTTTCCAGCATCCTTCAATGGTGGAAGCGGGTGGTGACCCACCGCTGGGGGTGCAGGATGGACCAGGGGTCCTGCCCCCGCACAAGGGGCTGCGTGTGCTCCCAGTGCTGGGGTCCCACCGTGGCTGCCGCTGCCGGGGCCTCCCAGTCCCCCCCAGTCCTCCCCCAGCCCCCTGAAAGCTCCTGGACCACGCTTCCACACGTGGCTCCCTTAAAACCTTCGCGTGTGTCTCGGGCGCCAAGTAAAGCCGTGACGCGCTCCCTCCGGTATGTGCCGTCCCCGTCAGTGTTTCCTCTACGCTCTCGGAAATTGCTCGGTTTTCCTCGGAGAGGCGGTG